GAATAACCATAAGGAAGGAAAAAGTGAAATTATCATTATTTGCAGATGACATGGTACTCTACATAGAAGACCCAAAAAAAATCCACCATGTCTGCATCTTGTACTATGAAAAACTACTATGAAGACAATATGCAATGCATATATTATTGTAACTGTCCTACTAACCTGTTTTGAAACTGTCTCATTGCTACTTCTTTCTCAATAGAATTAATATAAAAAAATCCACCAAAAGACTCCTAGAATTCATAACCAAATTCTGTAGCATATTTGGATACAAAGTCAATACTCATTAATCAGTAGCATTCCCGTACCCAAGCAACAAATTTACTTTCTGAGAAAGAAATTAGAGAAACCACATCCTTCACATTAGATGCAAAACAATGAAATACTTGGGAATCAATCTCACAAAGGAATTAAAGGTCTATACAATAAAAATTGCAATGCACTGAGAAAAGAGATCAAGGAAGTTTTCAGAAAATGGAAAGATATTCCTTGGTCATGGATAGGAAGAACCAACATTTTGAAAATGGCCATATTCTCAAAATTGTTGTACAGATTCAATGCAATCCCAATCAAAATACCATTAGTATACATCACAGATCTAGAGAAAACATTTCTAAAATTCATCTGGAACCAGAAGAGACATAGAAGAGTAAAAATAAACCTGGGCAACAAAGGCAAGGCACAATCCTTGAGGCTTCACAATCACTGACTTGAAATTATACTGCAGAGCTACTGGGATAAAATCAGCAAGGTACTGACCAAATAAATAAATAAATAAATAAATAAATAAATAAATAAATAAGCCTGAGGCTCACTGGAACAGATCAAAAGATCCAGATACAACTACAAACACACTTGACCACCTTGTCTTTGACAAAGGGGCCAAATATGTTCACTGGAAGAAGATAGCATCTTTAACCCTGGTGCTGAAAAAACTGACTTGCCACATTGTGAAGATGAAAACTAGACCCATGTCTATCATCATGCACTAAACTAAAGGAAAATGGATCAAGAATCTAAATACTGAAACAGAAATGCCAAATCTACTGGAAGAGAAAATAGGTAGAAATCTTGAAGACATAGAGGTAGGCAGAGAGTTCATGAACAAAACTCAAACTGCACAGGCAAAATTCAATAACTGAAATCTCATTCTGCAGCAAAGTTCTTTGCACATCCAAAGAAGTCACCAACAGAGCAAAAAGAAAACCCACAAATTGGGGGGAGGGGGGAAGAACTGTACCTCTAGCCAAAGACTTCTATCTAGAACATATAGAGTATTTAAAAAAAAAATCAAGACCCCACAATTCAAAGAGCCAATCAAATGGAAATCTGAGATAAATACACACTTCTCAGAAGAAGAAATACAGAGCTCTGGGATTGGGGAGCTACAGGCCTGGCCAGACCCCTGGGCCAACGGAGCAGCAGAGGCGGCCTTATAAAGCCTGCGGCAGGAAGCATGTAATGTCGGAATGCAGAGACTGCGGCGGTGGCCACAGCAGCAGCTAAGATGCTGAGGAAGAGGGTGACGGTGGCGGAGGCCGGGTGGGCCGTGGCTCCCTCAACCCAGCCCTGGTCAGAGTCCTCAGCGGGCCTGCTCAGCCACAAGCTGCGCTGCACCTCCCTCATGGTGCACCAGCAGCCAGAGCTGCCCTGCAGAGCCTTGGTGCTTGGCTGCACTCTGCTTCTCCCCCTCAAGCTCACCTGCAGTGGAGCAAAAGATGTGATAATACCAGCAAAGCCACCTGTCAGCTTTTTCTTCTCAAAGTCTCCGGCCCTATACCTCTTCCAGGGTCAGCTGGGCTATGCAGAGCACATTCGCCGGGATTCAGAGGCGGTACTGCTGTCCTATGCCCCGCAGGGTGGCCAGTCTATAGATGTTAGGGCAGAAATTGAGCATGCAGCAAACCAGTTTCTGACCAGGTGTTGTTTGTGTTAACTCACTGTTGGTGGAACCGGGGGAAATGCAGAAAACAGAAACACTTCTATTTTCCTGTAATACACCTGTATCATCAGAGCTTGGAATAGTCAGGTACTTTGAGTTCAGTGGCTCACCCCAGCCTCCTGGCTATTTGACCTTTTTCACCTCAGCATTGTATTTATTAAAGAAAGGACTTCTCCAAGGAAGTCATGAACTTCACATCTGAGAACATCTACAAGTGGACCTTCAAAAACCGAGAAACACTCTTGAAATGGCTGCAGCCCCATGGAGGCAAGAGTCTCCTGCTGAATAATGAGCTGAAGAAGGGACCAGCACTCTTCCTGTTCATACAATTCAATCCTTTAGCTGAGAGGCACCCCTTCATAGATGAGATCACCGAAGTGGCCTTGGAGACAACAACTGTCACAGGGACCAGGTGGTGGAGCACCTCCTTTAGCATCTGCGCAGGAAGATGCACTGCTGTCACAGTCCTTAGCACCAGAGCCATCATCTCCACTGCCAGACACATCACTGACGGCAGCATTGCCCTGCTGCAACACTGTGGGGCTGCCCCAGGGGCACTCCTTTCCCAGGACCCATAACATCTGTGAGCTGTGTGTCAACCAGACTGTTGGGGGCATCCGGCCAAGCTCAGTCAGTGTGCTGCAGTGCAGCTTCCTCCAGGTGGCAGCGGCTCTGGATTCCTTCTACCTCAAGGAGTAGACCTTTTATCACATGGCATCAGACAGCATGGAATGCAGCAATTTTTTAACTTCCTATAACCCTTTTAGCTATTACACTGCATGTTGCAGGACCACAAACAAGGGTGGGGTAAGCTTCATTGGTTCTGAACAAGGCATCTTCAAAATTGCAGGCACTGTGCTTTCTTCCCTGGAGAAGAGTGAGGCTACCGCCCGCAACTCTGTTTCTCACATTGAGGAGAACAAGTATCTTTTCCCTGAAGCAGGTGTGACCAGCACCACCTTCACAGATCTGAGCTGCAGAACCATCAAGGCCCTGAACATCTATCTTTTGGATTCCAATTCATTTTGGCTATATGCAGAGATAGAGTGCTCCACACTCCACTCGTGAAAAAATTTGCCGCAATCATTGATATGAAAGAAGAATCTCACTATATCTTGGATCCAAATCAAGCACTCATGAAGCTCACTTTACAATCTTTTATTCAAAACTTTAGCATTCTCTGCAATCCCTTGAAAAGACGCCTCACTGGAAGTGATTCTGCCCAGTTCCTTTCTCAGCATTTCATCACTGAAGTAACAACTGTTACCTTCTGGGAAGTCATCCTTCAAAAACTGGATATCTTGCTGCTCTATTACGCCTAGTGGTGTGGCTTCTGTCCATCCCTCAATCACATCTTCATTTATCTTGCTTGTCTCCTGCCAGTGGATACATTCACTGTGGCCAGGATTGATGTGTCTCAGAATGATCTTCCTTGGGAACTTATGGTTGACCAGCTTCCTACCATCTTGTCTTTTTCCTGCAACAGAAAAGATCTAAGTGTGAAATACTCCAAAGACCTCCCCATCACCCTTCCAAAGCTGCTGAGATTCATCTTGCTTCACTCAGACCCTGCCTTTGCCCCCCAGAATGTGGCCAGCACCCATTCTAGAGGTTGTCTCCAGAGCAAGGCAACCTTACAGCAGGGGCACATCTCCCACTTGGAGAGAGAGATGCAGAAACTGCAAGCAGAGTTAAGCATCCTTCACTGAGCTCAATAAATGAAAGTGAGTTTTACATACCTGTAAAACAAAGAAAAAAACTATACCCATTGTATTTATATGTTAGGAAAGAATCTTTAACTTTCACAGTCTTTCTATTGAGCCAATCATACTGCATAAAATATTGGGAATTGTGTTATTTTAGCAAATCTTACACAGGATTATAATGTTATTCTGCACATACTCAGAATCTTCTAAATATTTTTAAATGTGCCTGAGGTCTACATGTGATTCTGTCAGTTAAGGCCATTAGACTCAAAAAGAATTACACCTTCCCACCAGTAAAGGTACCAGTCTTTCTTATATCAAGCTGTCCTTTGTGCCACTAATTGAAAGGTCTTAGTGCCTCGTGTAAGAGTACTCTGTTTTATTTTACATGCCATGCCTGCAAAATTCCTCTTCCTATACACTCTGCCATGACCCCTACCTGCCTTCCTGGTTGGCACCAGTAAAAGCCTTGGGCACTCTGCCTCTTGGTCTTTTATTCCATTGAGTACAACTGATCATCCCAGAACCTCTTCAAATGCAGAGCTTTCTTTGTCTTTTTTCATCCATGTGCCTTACTGCCAGGTGGGAGACATGAACTCTCCATGGAGATTTCAGTATGTTGGGACTTGGTGACTATGAGAGAGTGTCAGTGACAAAGCCTTCTCTTATTTTCTTTCCCTGAACATCATACCCACTAACAGAAGTTGCTATGCAATCTGGACAAATTCTAGACAGTAGAAGTAACAGGGACCTCAGCAGGGTGGCCTTGGGCCAGAGGGTAGAGGCAAGCAGGTTTCACCTCTCTTCTGACATCTTTGACTTTTGTTAGTGTTCTTACCCACACCCCAGCACACCACACTACACCAGGTTTTATTGATCTTTATCCAAGTTCTACCTAGATAAGTATAAATAACCAAGAGAATTTGCATTCATTAGCACAATGCTTGTGATTTCAAGGGACAAACAACTCACAGGAATAATGATGAGGGTATGCAGTTGCCACCTTTCTTGTCTTCTTGGAGGTATTGGGGCTTGGGTGGGTTGAGGTTTCTAGAACACACAGCACCAAGGCCCCCTTCTTGTTGCACTGAGTTCCTCTTCCTGCTGTCAGCACTCACTCAGCAACTGAAAGGGAGATCAGGACATTGGTGTGGCTATTCTCCCTTGCCCAGAGCACTGACAGTTGGTGGCCAAACCTCCTAGGCAGCCCTGGAAGTTGCACAACCACACTAGGAGGACAATAGGACTGTGAATTCTAAAGCTCCGCTCCTACTCCTTCCTTCCTTTCTCAAAGGCTAAAAGTCTGGCAGAGGACAAACATACAGCAACTGAGCAGACTCTCCAGTGAGATGAAGCCACTCCTGCTCCTGCTGGCCTTTGTCCTACTCCCTTGGTCCAAGGCAGGTGAGTGATCAACATCAGCCTCAGAGACTATGGGATTCCATCCCACGGACTCTAGGGTCACACTGTCGTGGTACACCTTAATTCCATATGTTTGTGCATTTTATTTGAACTCTTATTCCTGATTTCTCAACTATTAAATGGAAATAATACTGATAAAAGTGCTTGTGTACATTAATTTATTAATGTACATAAGACTTAGAGTTAGCCCTGGTCCAAGGTAAGTGCTATATGAGTATACTTTATATAAATTCATTCTGTAGCCTATATATCAAAGTCCAAGAGATATAGATACAGAACTGAAAGTTCCATTAGCTCAAATCTAGCTTCTCTTTTCTTTTTTTTTTTTTTTTTTTTTTGTGGGGGAGGGTGGTACCAGGGATCAAACTCAGGACCTTGTGCTTGCCAGGCAAGCACTTATTCAACTGAGCTATCTCCCTAGCCCTAAGTCTAGCTTCTTAAACACCAGTCCTATGCTGTCCATAAACTAGACCCAAAGAAGAATATAGGAAGTTCACTGAGGAAGAAAGAACAAACTTCAAGGAAAGTTCTTGCTAGATAACAACAGAGCCTCTCTCCTCCATACCTGAAGTTGAGAATGGCCTTGCCTGGAATAACTATTGTTCTCTGCTTTCAGAAAAGGAGAATGAGGTGAAGTCTGTGGTGGCAATGACTTCTGAGAGCATAGGAGCCACCTCCTATCACCCTCACTGTCACCTCCTCTCTCTCCCACATCATCTCTCCTACCCTCCCAATCTCCAGACCTTATTGAGCCACAAATCCGATTCCCACATTGCTGGTTCTTAAGCAGATAGCTAAGTGCTGAATGCTTCCTTCCAGGAAAGATCATTGGAGGACAAGAAGCCAGACCCCACTCTCACCCCTACATGGCATTCCTTCAGATTCAGGCTCCAGATGGTCTTCAAAGTTGCGGGGGTTTCCTGGTGCGAGAAGACTTTGTAATGTCAGCAGCTCACTGCTGGGGAAGGTAAGAAACTCGGGTAATCTTCTGGGAGACAGTAACACAGACCTAGAAGAATTCTTCAGAAGGGCCATCTGAAAAGAATAAAATAAAATAAAAGTAAATTTTAAAAAGAAGAGCTGGGCCTGCCAGATGGCTCAGAAGACTAAAGTGCCTGCTTAGGCAGAGCTCAGTGGCCAGGGTTTGATCCCTGGTGTGCCATGCCAGCCCCACTCCGGGGCTGTGCTGAGATGGCCATTGAGATTGGTCATGGTGGCACATGCCTGTAATCCCAGCACACGGGAGGCTAAAAACAAGAGAATCACTATGAGTCTGATCTACACAGTGAGACCATGTACACCCTGTAGACCCTGTACCAAATACATTTTTAAAAAATGAAATGAAATAAAAAGAAGAGCAGCACTGGCAATGAAAGGATGAAAAAGAAACCCAATAAAATTGGGGAAATGGGAGGTGAGAGGTCAGTGTAAATGGGAAGAATAGGAAAGCATGATCTGAAAGAACAGGAGATGGAAAGCATGCACAGAAGTTCACAATATGAACCCAAGCTGCTTCACAATTTAATTTAGAAGAACAAACATTAAGGTCACCATCCCTCTCCATCCCCAGTGCAGGAACGCTAAGCAACAGAGATCTGGCCCCAGGGTCCTGTCCTCTCTTCTCTCTCCAGCTGTAGTTTTTTCTTTCTTGAGCTGTCTATGACTCTGCACAGCTGCTGGACCATAGCTCCTGCTGCTTACTTACCTCTAGGTCAACTTTTCCTTTACAGTGTTATAAATGTCACACTGGGGGCCCACAACATCCAGAGGCGGGAAAGGACCCAGCAGATTATCTCTGTGCGCAGAGCCATCCCCCACCCTGGATATGATCCCCAAACTATCATGAATGACATCATGTTACTACAGGTATTGCATGACTATCTGCTTCTTCAATCTAGCCAGCTCCCTCCTAGTGAGTGTTTCACTGTTCTGGGACTATGGAAGAGGAAGAAAGATGGGGCTTCTTGAGAAGTGGTTGGGGAAAACATAAATTGCATACTGTACTAGCAGTCCCTGAGCATTGTTTGGGAATCCCACCTAAGCAGGAATGAATACCTGTCCTCTTTCTGGCAGCTGAAGAGAAGAATCAGACAGAATCGAGCTGTGAGACCAGTGGCCCTGCCTAATTCTGGGAGAAAGCTGCATCCTGGGGCCTTGTGCACAGTGGCTGGCTGGGGCCGGGTCAGCCTGGACAGGAGGACAGACAGACTGCAGGAAGTACAGCTGAGAGTGCAGAGCGATCGGAAATGCAGTCGTCGCTTCAGAACCTACAGAAGCGAGACTGAGATTTGTGTTGGGGACCCTAGACAAAGAAAGATCGCCTTCAAGGTAAACATGTGAATATTTGTTGATATTTCCTGGGGCAGGGTGGCCTGTGCAGATATGGAACAGTGAGAACAGACTCCATCCCCATAGTCACAGCCAGGGGACTAAACAGACCAAACCAATGTGCGGTGGGAATCTTTTTCCTATCCATTCAGTATCTGGAGGAATGGAAGGAAGGCCCACACAAAACACATACATATGAGGATAGCATCTTCCTAGAGAAGGTGAAGACAAAGTCTGAAGCCAGAGACTACACTCCTCCACCCCCACCAATCTGCTATCTCACACGCACCAGCCCTTGAAGAAGCCCATCCACCCCTGCCTTCTCTGAGAGAGGTGGATTTAGGATAGCAGGAGCAGAAAGGTCTCACTTACTATCCTGTCTTCTCTTTACCTACAGGGAGATTCTGGTGGCCCCCTGATATGTAACAATATGGCTCAAGGCATTGTCTCCTATGGAGACAGCCAAGGAATTCCTCCAGAAGTCTTCACTAGGATCGTAAGCTATCAGTCATGGATACAAAGAACAATGAGACGCTTCAAACAAGTAGATGAGATTGAAGATTCCCCAACCCCGTGACTGACAGTAAAATTCTATGGGGCACAGGTCAGCTGCAGGAGATTGCCAGCGCCCTAATAAATGTTCCAACCAGAGTGCAAATATTTGTTCATTCAACATCATTCAGTATTGTCTCGGATGGTTTGAATTGCTATAATAGGACGTTGCCTTATAAGCAGTAGAAATTTATGATTATCTCTTCTGAGGAAGGGAGAGAACCTTAATAAGGGTTCCTTGAGCCTAAAAAAATATAGCTAAGGACATGTGAAAAGAATGTCAGAGAGGATAAGACTGTGTCTTCCTTTGAACCAGCAATGTATTTCATCCTTGCAATAGGGTCAGTGATATATGTCAACCTTACAATAAGATACAAGCCAAGGGGATGGGATAATTCAATGGCTGCACTCATCATAGAAAGGAATATTGTAGCTGTTTTGCTGTATTTTTTTGAAGCATCCTGCTTTGAAGCAAAGTGGCTCTAATGTAAAACCAATTGGAGTAGCTAATGAAGGGTAAAACAGCCTCTCCCTGGATGCTTACTGCTCCAAATTTTCCCCCTGATGGATCACAAAGGCAATTCTTTGACATCTGGGTAGAGGCTTCTTCCTCCATATCTGCTTCTGACAGAGAGTGAATAACAAATGAAAGGGGCCTCAAATGAATTTATGTATGTTTCAGAGGTTGTGGGCCTCAGATGAAGTTTGAGCATAAATGGCTGGGTGGTATGTTCAAGGGCTGAAAGACCAATGCACTCCTTGTAAAGAGTCTGGGATCCTTATCTGCTCATTATTGGGAAATGAACTTTTTGGAGCATGGAGGACACAAACTTTATCAAGAGATTAAAAAGTCAGGACCAAAAGGGGAAAAAAATGGATAGTCACAAGTGACTCTAGAAAGATGAGGAACATGGTAAGCACAGTTTCTTGGTTACTTTTCTGGTTGCTGAAGCAAATACTCAACACCCAAAGTTAAAACAGGAAGGGTTTATTAAGCTCACAGTTTGTGAAGGCTTCAGTTTATAATCAGCTGGCTCCAAGGCAGAGTGGCTTGGCAGACAAGCATCACAAAGGAGAAACACCTTATGGTGGGCAGAAGGTATCAAGGCACACAAGGGACAAGACAAGCCTCTTTCTCTCCCATAGTAGTATCCAGACTACCAGGATTATAATCTGGATGAGAGGCGTGTGGTACTGGATTAGTCTACTGATGGGTTTATAGTTGGGTGTGGTGTTAGGAGGTGAAACTTGGTGGGAAGTGGTGGGACACTGTGGGCATGACATCGAATGCTATGCATCACTTTAACTCCCTTCCTCTCGGCCCTGCTTCCTGCTTGCCTGGCCGTGAATTCTTTCTCCTCCACACACCGCTCTGCCATGCCTCCCTGCCTTGGAACCAGCTGACTACAGTTTACTACAAACTGTAAACCAAAATAAACCTCTCTTTTTGTAACTTCTGGGTGTTGAGTACTTTGTCCCAGCAAAAATAAAGTAATAAAACAGGCACCCAAGGCAAGAAGGAAAAGGAAATAAATACTCAAAGCCATTAGTCAGCCTAGAGAATACAGAGTGATGGATTTTCTAGGGAGCAAATCTAGGAATGTTAAGTGATTGGAATAAAGACAAAGGTTATATATAATGTAAAAGTAGCAAGCTAGACCGAGCAGGAGCAAAGGAGATCTTTTCTATAAGGAGGAACTGGTTTCCAATGAGAATAAGAATGACAAGACATGTATCACCATTGCCATATTATTTATATCCCCAGCTTGGAGGATGAGCTGATCATGCTGCGGTAGAGAAATAACAGGGATAATAGCTCAAAGTACATAATAACCTTTGTCCAAGAGTACTCTGAAACCCCCTGACCCCAGGGAGGAAAAAAACTATGGCCAATTCCCAGAATTGAGTTGGGTCCTGCCAAACACCAAAAGCACAGGAAAAAAGAGCTGATAGTATCACATCACAAAACTCAGAAAATGAGAGAAAGAATCCTGACTTTTTCAGGGTATAGGGGTGATTACGGGTGACTTTTAATTTGTGTTTTCATTGGAAAAAGAAGTGGAGCTCTCCAAACGTCTTGCAGGTGTATTTGCTTCAATAGTCACCCCGAGGAAGAGCAGTTTTTATCCTTGGTAAGCTGATCCAAAAATGACTAACATTACAGCTTGGCGGTGGTCAGAGAGGTACATAGTACCTGGTAAGTTCCAATTTTGCACTGCCTCAGTGGATTTTCGACCCGTGAAAGGATTTTTAAGTATTTTCCATCCCAAGGGTTAACAAGGAGCATGATCCAAACAAAGTGGAGTCCAGTTGATCTATATTTCTTCTGCCAGATAGTGATAGTCTTGATGCTTGTCCCAGTGACGTGACATAGTGAGACAGATAGTGACATAATGAGCAAGATGTCCATCTGAAGGGAAGTTCTGTCATAGAGAACTTCTAAACAGTGGAGATGAGTCACAGATTTGGGAATAACCCAGCATGTTAAAGAGTGAAATTGCCAGAAGAGTGGGCCAAGAGTGCTGTGTGTTATGGGAGAGCTTAGAAAGGGTCTTAGGAATTGGGTTAGTTTGTACCTTTTTGGAGGACTAAGAATGTCATGCTGCAGGGGGTGACATTTCGAGAGCCTCAGTGACTCACTGACTCCTGCTACAATGTCCTGCTGTCTCAGGTAGGACACACCTCCCTGCTGCTGTTGCTCTCCTTGGTGCAGAGCCACCCCTCCTACTGAGAACCTGCCCCTTCCCTGTTTTTTCTCCTGGTCATCATGGTGTCCAAGAGCAGAAGGGACTGGCTCAACTGGATTCTTATTTCTTCCCCATGAACTAGAAAAAAAAGCCAAACGGACTGCAGCCATGCAGCTCCACAGGCTTCTGCAAATCCCACTTGCATGTCTATTACCTCAACGCCACAGAGATGTACGTGGAGACCCTAGGAAAACAAAGACCAGTTCCAAGGTAGGGTTTCTACCATCCCTGTGCCCTGAGTCCAGACCTTGTGCAGCCTGGGCACCCAAGCACACAGTCTTTAATCTATGCCCTGGGTGAATAGGAGTACAAGGTGGAGAAATGTCAGTTAACCAAATGCAGTGTAACCAGCAGAGCATCTCTAAAGATTTCACAGAAAGTTTTGGACTGTTTAAAATGCGAAAGCAAAGTCAAAGTTAGGCTAGAGCCCCTGGTTGGCAGCCAGGCCCCCTCAGCCCTGATCTCATGTTCACAGCTCCTGACAGAGGTCACCCACTGTGGGGAGTTCCCAAGAGCACTGCCAGGAGGAGGCCAGCTCCGTATTTTCCTTCTTTGTCTTCAGGAGGACTCTAGGGGTCCCCCATGAGTAACACCATGATCCAAGGCATTTTCTCCCATGGAAAAAATAATGGAAGCTTTCATGAATGTCTCCCACTTTATGCCCTGGATAAAGAGCACCTGGAGCACTGCTAACAGCAAGCGTAAGACTGGCCTCCTGTAAGTTGTCCAGGTTGTGTTCAGCTTCGCTCTCAGTCTCCTTCTTGGGCTCAGGGGCTGCCCCAGGTTCTTCCTGTGCTGATGTGGTTGTGGCGGCAGCAACAGTCACACAGGTAGCAGGAGCCACAGCAATTGCAGCCACAGCCTTTTCCTTCTTGTGTTTTTCTTATGCTTCTTATGTTTCTTATCCTTTTTGTGTTTCTTGTCATTCTTTTTCTTCCCACCTGTTTCCTGATTGGAATTCTGGGCTGGTGATGGGCTTGGCATGGGGCTCTTAGCCTTCCTGGCTGACACTGCAGGGAACCAGTTTGTGGAGGCTGATTGAGGCTGGACAGGGAATGGGAGAAAATGCTCCACAATCCGTATGGAAGGCTCAAGTGTCCCCACAGTCCTAGGGAGGAATGTTAGTTATGATGTAAATTTTATTTGGTTTGTACTCAATTCAATTTCAAAATTGCTAAGATGTGTTTGAGCTTTAGATTATAACATTTGTTGTAATAATTGTTAGGTTGAAGTTCACCATATAAAAAAGGAGGCATGGATTTACATTGCAAAAAGTGTCCGCAGTGTATTAGTGACATTTTTATTGACAGATGACATAAATTCATTTAGAGTAAAATATTTTTTCATAATTTTATTGAGAAACAAATAGAAATGGTACAGTTTCAAACCAAATTGGTAGGACAGTTTCAATAATTAACACATTGCATACATTCTTCCTAGTGGTTAATTGTTGTATAAGATGCAGACATAATATCCTATTTACAAACACTATTAGAACAAATCCCCCTATTCATTAAGAGAATGTAACTATATATCTATCCTAACCATTTTGAATACACAGATACAAAATGGACATTCATCTGTATCCCCTTTTCTTGTTTAGTTCCATTATTTGAATATTAAGTGTGTTAACTCAGCAAAATATTCTAAAAGAGTCCAGTAGTCCATAATAGTACTGGGTCTTCCGATTGACTGGCAATGTCAGAAATTGTTGACCTGAGTCCCCTACAGCTCAACATAACAGCATGGCTTTACTTCTTATACTTCGTTTTTATACTTTTCTGCTGGATGGTTATGACCAAGGTAAAGCAGGACCTATGCAACAAGAGTTGTAGCTTTCGGGTCTGATAAGGTCAGTGCAATCCCCTCAGGATTTATCCTGAGATCCTGTACCTCAGATTGTAGAACCTTTGTCAGTGTCAGCCATGTGGATGAGTCACGGCCATTGTTTGGCCAATGTGCTCTCTGTGAAAGCCTGAGAGAATTAGAGCAAAATATTTTAAGTTAAAAAAAAAACCTTTTTTTTAAAAAAAGGAGGTTAAGAAATGTTGGCATTCTTATTTATTTAAATGCCCCTTGCTACTCCCAGGGAGGTTTTCACTCTTTTTTTTTCCCCCTTTTTCTTTCTTCTTTTATTTATTTCTTCTTATTCGAGTCTTCACACCCATTTAAGTTCTTTGCAAACTAGTGCACAATCAGACCCCTGTTGGAGTGCCACAGAAGCATAAGTGGATGTTCCAGGGCCACAATCTTCTCTGTTGCCTGTGGAATCGCTACTGAAAGGAATCAGCATTCGTGCTCCAGGTTGAGACAGAAAAATGAAAGCTTGTTTTCCAGGACACTAGGCTTATCCGGATGTGTGACACGCTGATTCAGAACACGGGGACTGGAGTCTACTTTGTTCTGGGTTTCTATTTTCTTCTCCCTCCTTCGTCATCAGCCCGACCTTCCCGCTCTCCCCCTGCTTGTAAAGGCAGTTAAGTCATCCCAGGAAGGATGGATGTAGCCTTCAGTTATATGAAATCTTTATTTTCTGAAATGTCATGGCTCCATTCATATTTTCGTCTTATTCTTCCAATTGGGATATATAGTGCTCAGAGCTCTTGTATTTTGGAAGCGAAAAGGAGGACTCTGGCTTTGAAACAGTGTTTTGGTTTCACTGTTTTGCGGTTTTTTGTTTTTGTTTTTTAAATTAAATCTATATGAAGCTTGTGGGTTAAACAATAAATTTCTAAATTAACAAAGGAGATTGGCCTCCTGATCATCTTTTCTTGGCAGGAAAAAGAATCCCGTGGGCGTGGACCCTGAGAATTGCACGGTAAAATAAACGGATCTCGGGAGTGAATGTGACTGAAGTCCTGTTTATTCATTGAACCTGTTCAGGATACAGCTGCACTGCTCCCGGCAGCCCCCTGCTGGCCATTCTGGGTTTTGCGTCCTCTTCTCTCCCTAGTCTGGCTTTAACTCTCATTTTGTAGAATTCCTCATTGATTCCTCGAGTACAATGCTTGTTTGCTTCTTGTTTGTTTGTTTGTTTGTTTGTTTGTTTTCTAGGATCCAGGAACTTGCTATGTAGTTCCCGTTGGCCTTGAACTTACTATGCAGTACAACTTGGGCTTGCAGCCAATCCTCCTTCCTCAACCTCCCAAGTGCTAGCATTATAGGCCTGGACTACCACACTCAGTAAGCACAATTTTCTTTTAATGCTCAGCTCTCCAGTGTGGACTATCTCACTGCACAGTGGGGAGTCTGCAGCCTTAGGAGCTGTGCTCATACACATGGTCCATGTCCTCTCTGCATAACATTCCAAATATGAAATCTCTGGGCTTTAGGAATTGTTTACCATCTCTAAGCCAAAAACCTTTGTTGGGCTCCCAAAAAATTGGCCTAGAAGGGAGCAGTGGAAAAGGGTTAACTCCAGGCACCCAGGAGGCCAGGGTACTCAGTGTCATGGTCCCCTGGCACCTCTCCAGTGGGGCAGGTTTCTCAGTACTATCTGCTGCTTAGGAGGCTCGGGAGGCCCTCAGGCTCCCAGGTCCCATTTGATGCCCTCTCCTGGGCTAGCACTGAGTTCAGACCACCTCCTCCCTTGCTGCCTGGCCTTTCCACACTAGCCCCTGTCTCTACCACAGTGCACCTGGCCAACAGCCCTTTCCCTTCCAGTTCCTGGGGTTTAAGACCCCTGCTTCTCACCTCCCAACACAGTTCACAACTCTGTGCATTCACCTCTATCACTCGTTCCAGCCAGGCTGGAACTCTCTCCCCTTCTATCTGGGAAGGGCTAGCCCGTTCCAGCCCAGTGTCCCCCAAGGCTCAGCATTACCTGCTGGGAAGCCACTCTGCAGCCTCAGCCCTTTCAGCCTGGCCTGGCCTTGGGCTCCAGGCTTCCCCTGCTGGCAGGCTGAGGTGACAGCAACCCGCGAACCAAAGATCCCAGGACAACTGGGCGGGGAGGATCACTGAGCCATCTATCAACAAACACCATCTTGATCTATTTCTTTGTTGTAGACACATAATAGGCTCTGGTCTCACCTTTGAGAAACATACAGTAAGGAAAAGTTTCTTCTGAATATTCCTGATTCCTTTCCTTCCACCAGGCAATTCCATTTGACATAGATGGTTCTTTTGGAATCCAAGGGAGATCTTGTTTTGAAAGTAATTTAATCGTTTTAACATGCATGACTTTCTCTGGTTGCAGAAGAGCAGTGTAGGACACCAGAAACACCTCGGAAGTTATTAGGTCCTCAGATCCCCAATGTTTGCTAAGAGTGATCTGTGTCCTGGGTGTGGGGAGGAGGAAACGGCAATCAGGACAGCCTGAACTTGGTTTATTTTGCTCATAGAAACCAGTACCCTCAATTCAAAATAGTACAGTTCAAGTACAAAACAGTGATTTCCTGCCAAGAAGATCTGATTTAGGATCCTGTGTCCCTCAAACAGTGCTATTAATGAGTTATATGTGACAAAATGCAACAAATTCACAATAGTTTTAAAAACACTTGGTCAACTAAGGCCAATATCACAAGTGGAGCTACTTTATTGAGAAGAATAAAAAACATCATGTAGTAGTCTAAAGGAAAAAGTGTTTACTCTAATGAACTACTACCAGGTTAGTAGTTATATAGTTGGTGGGCGATATTGCGGAATATCCCACAGGAATAGCAAGCAGATGAAATTTAGAAGTCAAAGAAGCTATAAGAACCAAAGCCACCTCTCTACCTTGGCACCAAAGGCAGCACAGGTCTGAATACTACGCCATTTTATAAAATGCCTAAAATACTCCAGGGGTAGAAACCTCGTTGCTCTAGCCACTATTGGTGAACCACAATAAAGACCAATATCAGTGACATTCTTTCTAGAACCCAGAGACCTAGAGACTGAGATATTTGCACAAGGGAGGGTATCACTGGTCCCGGGCACTGTGGGAATCATGAGTCAGAGGACTGGGTCAAAAATAAAGTTGTGATCCACAACACAAACAACCCAGGCACAGGCTTGCTTCTCCATGGCTTGGGGCTCTGAGACAACTGGGATGCAGAGAGTTGGAGGTCTGGAGCAGACACAATGATAAGCACAGGGAGTGATGAGAGATGGCCTAAAGAACCTTGCCTCTGGCTTTTGCCCATTCACCTCCCTGTCCTCAACACCAAGCATGGTGGGAACCAGCTGGCTTACACAGCATTGAGGACAGAGAAAGAACGCTGTCCTTTTCATGACCCCTGGGTGCTGCTGAGATCAGACCAGAGAAAGACCCAGGAAACTACACAGGGACAACCAGTTTTCTGCACACCATTTGTTAAAGAGGCTCTATTTTCTCCAAGGTTTGTTTTTTAACCTCAAAATCAAACAGCTGAAGGGGCTCAGGGCTTTATGTCTTTTCTTCGATTCCATTGATCTACATGTCTGCTTATGCCACTATCATGCTGTTTTTGTTACTGTAGCTCTGTAGTATATCTTCAAATCTGGAATTTTGGTGCTTTCTGCTTTGTTCCTGTTGCTCACAATTGCTTTGGCTATTCTGCATCTCTTCTGATTCCATATAAATTTTAGAATTTTTTTCTAGTTCAATGAAGGATGTTGTTGGTACTTTGTTAGAGATCACATTAAACATACAGATCACTTTTGGTAGGTGATGTGGTCCTTTCAACGATGTTAATTCTGCCTACGTAGGAGAAATAGATGTCTTCCCATTTTTTTTGTGTCCCTTTCAATCTCTTTCTTCAGAATTCAGTAGTTTTCACTGTGGAAGTCTCTCACTTCCTTGAGTAGGTTGTTGTCTAAGTGTTTAATTTTTGGGGGAGCTGTCCTAAATGGAACTGTCTTTTATTCTTTTCCCAGTGAATTCCTTATTATTGTAGAGCAATTCTATTGATTTTGTATTCTGCTACTTTGTTGAATTTATCAGCTCTAAAAGTCTTCTGATAGAGTTTTCTGGGTCTTTTGTGGAAAGGATCATGTCATCTGCAAATAGGTATACAGGAATTTGACATCTTCCTTTCCTACTGAATGCATTGCATTAATATATTTCTTTGTTTCCTGATTACTATGGCTGAAGTTTCAAGTACTATTTTGAACAGCCCTTGAGAGTGGACATCCTTGTCTGGTTCCTGATTACAGAGGGAATGCTTTCAATTTTTTCCCATTTGGTATGATGTTCACTGTAGGTTTGTCACATATGGCTCTTATCACTTTTCACACAGGATCTTTATATACTTATTTTCGTTGTTTTATTTTTCAATCCTAAAGGGATGTTTGATTTCTGTCAAAGACTTTTTCTGTACTTATTGAGGTGGTCATGTGATTTTTATTCCTGATCCTAGTCATGTAGCACATTTACTGATTAAAAATATGTCAAACTATCTTTGTATCTTTAGGATGAAGCAAACGTGGTCATGAGGTATGACATCTTAAATCATTTGTTTAATTCTGTTTATAATTATCTTATTGAGGGTTTTTCCATCTATGTTCATCAGGGATATTGTTCTGTAGCTTTCCTTTCTGTTGCTGCCTTCACTTGTTTTGTGTCAGGGTTGTATTGGCTTTGGGGAGTGAGTTGAAAAACATTCCATTCCCTCCCATTACCAGTGAAAGTTTTCAGAATACTCATGTTAATTCTTTTCTAAAATTTTGGTAAAATCCAGCAATGAGGGCCAGGGAGATAGCTCAGTGGCTTAAGCACCTGCCTGGCAAACACAAGGTCCTGAGTTTCATCCCTGGTGTTGGAAAAAAAAAATCAGCAATGAGTCTCATGGATCCTAAGTCTTTCTTTGTTGGTAGAGTTTATTACTGCACTGATTTCATCATTTGTTATTGGTCTCTTCAGGTTTTTTATAGCTTCTTGGTACAATTTTAGTGAGCCATACTGTCTAGAATTTATCTTTTTCTTCCACTTTCTTCAATTTGTTGGAATATAAGTTTTCAAAATAGTTTCTAAAATCTCCCTGGATTTTTGTTGTGTGCTTCTAATCTCACTTTTTTCATTTGTGATTTGTAATTATATTGATATGAGTCTTGTCTGTCTTTGGTAAGTTTAACTAAGGATTTGCCAATCTTATTCTTTCAAAGAACCAACTCTGATGCATTGTGTTTTGGTCTCAGTTTCATTAATTTGTAGAGTGATCTTCCTAATTTCTTTCCTTCTAGTTTTGAGTTTGGATCTTGTTTTTAGAACCTTCAGATAGATGAGGTCTCGGCGGATACCTGCACCTCTGCCTCTTTCTCATGCTGACCCAGGACTCATTGGTCAGCTGAACCATCCTAGCAGCAAGCTTTTTTTACCAGGAAACACTGTAGACCTTCAGTTTTTTCCAGATCATCCTCTGCCACATCAAGGGCTTCCACAGTGTCTCTTTTCTTCTCTTTACTCTGGCCAGAATGTTTTATAATGACACTGACAAACCTGCTAATGTAAATTATGTATTTCATGACTCTCCCAGAGGTTTGGTCTTTGTCATCATCTGTCCTTTCCTACAAGGATGACAACACAAGCCAGTTCTTATAAAAAAGGATCTGGCTCCCTGCAGACACAGCAGTGGAAAGACAATGGCTCTGCCACAGCCTTCTCCCAGCACTGACACTTAAACAACCAAAAGTTCATCAGTGGCAATTTCTGTAGGAGTGTCTCAAATGTCCTCTGAAGAGTGACATTAAGGCAAGCAGGATTTAGAGTGACTCAGTAGAACTCCAGTCTCCTGTAAAGCCAAGAGGAACTAGAGGAGTGAGGGGGGATGTTACCCAGCACCCCGCATAACCCAGCAACTACATGCTGGCAACCACCTGCACAGAGGGCTTGTATGGCTGGCAGTTTATGGGGCCTGGGGAGGAGATGGGAAACACCCAACCCTAATGTCCCAATATCCCAGAGGAGGAAAAATATTGTAACTGACAAAAATGTAATAAAACCGTCAAAAAAAGAGGTAATAAGCTATGGATATTATGAAACACAGTACAAGCTACTTGTTCAAATAATACAATTTTTATTTGAATAAGAAGTAAAATCATTATGAAGTATATGTTCCAAAATCTCTCACATTCCCCGCTTCACCAAAATGTCCTCTCTAACCCTCCCCTTGGGACAGGCACTTCTCAGCTTTTAATCTAGGAGGGCTACTTCTTGTGCTGCAACATAGGCCTTGTTAAAAATAAAGACTGAAAGGCTGGCCAAATAGCTCAGTGGATTAAAGTGCCTGCTTAGGCAGACACAGGGGCCAGGGGTTTGATCCCCGGCTTGCATATCAGCCTGCCCATGGGGCGCACTGAGATGGCAATTGAGACTGGGC